TTTACTATTTTTAAAAAATTCGAAAAAGTCAAAAAAAGTGGTAAAAAAATTTTTTTTTTCAGGCAGTCGCCATTTTGTGAAAAAAATTTTTTTTAACTTTTCCGTAGTTCCGACCATAGCGACATTACTATAGATTAATAATCTTTTTTATTTTTTTGTTTTCGATTGCTAGGAGGGTTGGAATCGTAGGTATCGTCACGTGCCAATTTTTTGAGACACTCCCACTTCATCAGCTGCTAATTTTTTGAATTTTCATTTTTTTATTTTTTTCTGTATTCTTATAATGTTAATAAATAACTTATAAAAAATGGATGGTAAAAATATTGATTTCCTTTTTTTTACGGCACTTTAAAAATTACCTGAAATTTCATGCTTCTAGACCAGAATACCCCCTTGTAATTTGAATTTTTTTTTGTTTTTATTAGAATAAAAGTTCATTCTTTTCATAAAGAACAAATAAATTGTGTGCTTATAAAGCAGCAAAATGATTACTTATGGAATAATATCACTAGTAGTTGGATCATTGCTTCTAGTTGGTTCAACTGGACAAACTAATGAAGAAGATGATATGATAAAGTGTAAGTTAGAAGTTAAAATTATTTGAGAAATATTTGTATTGCTAATATTTTTGACGCAACCTAATGACTCCAATTAACGTCGATAGTTGAAGAGTACCATACATCGACAAAGTACAGCGTAGAGCATTTATATCAGTTTGCTGATGAGGTATTTGGTGTAGATAGATGGTCAAATGACATACATCAGACTTGCGGTATGTTAATTTTAAATTATCAATTAAATATATTCCAAAAACTATTCTGTTATATTGAATCTCGATAGAAACTAAAAAGATTGATCAGAAGAAGGCTTTGATATTTGCTGCATGTCGGTCGACCGTTAAGGTTTCATTACCCAGTGGAATATACCACGTAGGAATTGGCTCTGATTCTGGCATTTTTTCTCCAAAAGATAAAGGACTGATTGAGTTCGAAAAGGTAACTTCTTTTTATAGTGTTGTGAAGCTTAAACCATTGTTACAAAGATATGAATAATTCAAAAACTAATTGATCAAATGAAATCCATGATCTGATATTGACTTTTTTTGTTACAGAGGTCTTTGGAGCTAGGTGTCTATAACGCTCTGATGTCTTTTGATAATGTAAAAAATTCTATACTGAATGCCGAACATGGTACTTTTAAAACGTTGAGAATGCTGAACAATGAAAAGCAGGAAAAAAAAGAAAGTATGATTATTGACTATCAGTTTGTAAATAATATTTATAATTTTGATTAATCGTCAAATTAATTCAATTATTGTTTTTTTTTACAGAAAAAGAAGTAAACACAAGCGGAAAACTCTGGGATGTGATGACAAAAAAGGTAGACGAGGACGAAAATTTGAAGGAAGATAGTCGTGATGATGGAGAGTTCACGAAAAATGACGAAGGTGATTTATCTAAAGTTCGAATAGAGTAAGTCGGTTCTTTAAAATAGTTTCACTGTGGATGCAAATCGGTAGCAAAGGCATGAAGAAAATGAGGTACAAAAGGTAACTATCAAAAATAAATAGATTGTATTAAATTTTGAGTTGTAAACATTTTTGATCATTAATAAATCAGACTATACAATAATAAAATTGATATCAACAATTATCTTGCTGTTCTTTCATTCTAATGTACATTTATAATTATGATCTTTAATATCGATTATATTATACCGCAATAACATAGTTACTCAAACTATTTTGAGCTAAATATGGGCATGATAGTCACCTTAATTAACTTTAGCTCAATATGTTTAGCTCTACATTTTAAGTTACTGTAACTCAATTAATTTTAGAGAGTGAATGATATACATTTCGTAGCTAATTTGTCCTCGAACAACAAATTTTGGGAGAGGGGAGAAGAAAGGATAAAGGGAAGCGACCACTCAGTGGGAATTTTTCGGCAACCGAAAAAATAATTCAGACATCCTGGGCCGGGATTCAAACCCGGATCTTTTGGTTACGCGCCAAGGACTCTTCCAGTTAACCTATCCGAGACATTCTCCGTAATTACCTTTCAGTCACTTAATAATTTTTTGTTTAACACGATAACAGAAAAATATTTATTAAAATAATGTTCATATAACTATTGATCAATATTTAAACTAATACTCAGTTAGAGTCATGGCTCATGACAATAACAATTCAGAAAACTATATTTTTATACTTGTGATAATTAGTAAAAATGTAAAAATTTTTATCAGATGTATCTGTATAAAAATAATCATAGAAAGGATAATAATTTACCTTTTAGCCTAATGAAAAAGGAAAATAAAAATAAAACTAACGAGTAATAAAAGAGTGAGCGTAAATTGAAAATAGTGATCACAAATAACAGCCCGACAGTGAGATGTGTAGTGCATATGAAATATATAAATAAAAAGACAATAAAAGAGAGTGTTTAAAATCTAAATGAAAGTGAGAGTTAGCTTTTGATAAATTCCACTTGTACTGAGATTTAGCTCCGTTGTAGGTTGAAGGAAGGGAGTCTGCTGGATATGAGGGTGTTGAGTAGACTCGTCACGATATGTTAGAGACTAAAGACTCAAGAGAATGACTATAACTACTCTACTATATTTTATACATGTACCAAAAGAACCGGGAAGAAATGCATACCGTGTTGGAATTAACGCGAGAATGAAGATTCACGTTTTTGTTCGAGCCACGATTAAAATTGCGTGTTACTGTATATTCTGCTTAGTACTTTCTGCTGGTATATCTATGTTCATGCATTCATATGTGTGAGTATGTAGATGAAAAGGGTATAGAACGGTGGGAAATTTCTCGTATGGGCATTCTTTAGTTTTTAAAAATGTAAATAGAGATAAAGACGCTCGAGTGTTAGAAGCTTGAGAAATTTACGAATTGTTAATTCCAAATGTGGATGAGGATGTGCGATGCTAATGTAAATTAGGGGCTCGCTGATGCGATTTTACCGAAGTCACTCTTAATTCACGGATTTGTGAGCATTTATCTCTTATGGAGATTAGTATTGTTGATATTAATTGTTATTCATGAATTTTCGTTTTTGATATGGCCATTTTTCGTGCGATTTTTAATGTAATTTCTTCTTAAATAACAGAATAATTTAAAAATTTGCTGTAATAACAAATGGGTATACTTACAGCAACAAATCCATTAGTTTCCTTGGCAAAATTAGTCCAGTTGTGATAACAAACCCGTTTCTTACGTCACTTAATTAATCTTTTGTTCCAATAACAATTCTTTTGTTAAGACTACAAAATAGTTTTGCTATTGTTACTTTGCTTATTTTATTGTAGTTAGAAAATCATTTTATGGCTAAGACAAAGTGATTTTGTTGCCTAAAATAGTTGAAAAATTCTGAGAAGCTTTTCTCTAAAATTGTCATTAAAGTTATAATTTACAATTTTGTTTATTATTGTAATAATTAAAAAATCCTGGATATGGTTAACTCTGCAAGCTATCCCTGGATTTTTCTGTTATATTTAAGTTCAAAACGCTCAAAAACTTTTCTATTGTAAAGTTAGTAGCTCTTGAAGCTCAAAATACAACTTCGAGCTCGAAATAAATCTAGTGAATGTCTTGGAAAAATCTTTTGAGATAATTTAGCTAACAAAATAATTATTTATTTGTCGAAAATAATTTAGTTATTTCCACAACAACATTTGTTATACCAACTGATTATATACCGACTGGTTTATATTGAACCACCAAAAAATTTGTTGTTATCCTGACATAACAATCTTGTTATTTCAACAAATCGATTTGTTCATCCAACTGAAATATTTTGTTGAACTAAAGGATTCTGCTGTAACAAAACTATTTTTTTGTAAAACATATAAATAACTTATAACATAGACTTTGTTATCATAACATATGATTTATCCTTATGCTAACATATCCAAGTTACCACATGTCTTCTGTTGTAGTAAAATATTTTTAACTTCCCGCTAAAAATCTCAGATTTTCAAAAATCGGGAACTTATTGTTTTCACCCCGTTTTACAAAAATCGAGTTTTCATCAGATCTCGACGTTTGAAGGTCACAGGAAGCTTCCCTGACTATTTTTACGATGATGTCCGTACGTCTGTGTGTGTGTGTGTTGTTTTTTTTTTTTTTTTTTCCCCGGTTTAGGGGGGGGGAATCCTTTTAGCGATTCTTTAGCGATAGATGTTGGGCCGGGATATGTGGCGACTCGACGCAGCGTCATACTAAAACCTGACGCTGACGCCCCTACCCACTAAACCCTAAACCCCTTTCCTCGTTCCTCTAATCCCTCATGGAAACCGCCTGTGTGTGTGTGTGTGTGTGTGTGTGTGTGTGTGTGTGTGTGTGTGTATGTAAACCTCTTGTAACTTTTGAACGACTTGACCGATTTCATCGCGGTTGGTGTCATTCGAAAGGGCTTCACTAAACTTAGATTTCCTGAAAATTTGAACCGATTCGGACCGGTAGATTTCGAGAAAATGCAAAAAAAGTGAAAAAAAAGTAAAAAAAAAGTTGTTTTTTTTTTTATTTTTTTTAAATATCGAAAAAAGTGTTTTTTTGTAATAACTTCGAAATTCATGGCTCGATCGATTTAAACTTGAAAATTTTCCATGGAGCTTCAAAAACTGCGTCGATTGCCGCCAACCGCGTGAAAATCGGTTCATTCATTCAAAAGTTATTGCCGTTTGAAAATTCAAAAAATTGTGTCTTTAAACTGCTATTAGAGTTTTGAGCTCGAAGAGCTTAAAAACGTAATGTGTAGTTTGAAGTGTTTAAGTACAAAATGAGCGGGAAGTTGCAGGGATGGCCTTTAGGGTGAACCGTTTTTCTAATTTTTTTTTCTAATTTTTAAGGAAGCTCCAATTTTTGCTATACGCGGGAGTTAAAAAGCTCTGCATTTTCTGTACCACCCAGTATTCCCCCTTTCCTCTTCTCCCCCAAACATTTCAAAATAAATTCATCTGCATCTTTTAACCATATGAAATATTCAACATTTACTATGAACGAGACTTCGACTTTTATTAAAAAAACTAAAAACTAATTAAAATTACCCATGCTCACTTGAGCCACTGGATCCACAAAATATCCAAATGAATCACAATGATAATAACAATAATAATTAAAAAGGAAAAAAACCTAATATGTTAGCGACAATTCTTGTTGGTAAAGCTGTCTACCGCAGAATCACTTCCCTTCAGTCTCTTGGCCCATTCTGGACCCTCTAGAAGTCGAGCAACCACGTTAAACGTTGGTAATGTTAACGTAAATAGATTATAACACTCTGTTTAACCGGCAGACATGCCTCGACCTCAACTCTCGACTGCGAATTATTCACGGATCGCGTGATACGTTACCCCTGTCCTGCCAACTGCTTCTATACCCTTTCCCACCTCTATTCACCCAAGCCCGTGCTCTCATAATCATACATTCTAGATTTTTTCAATATCTAATGAAAAAAGTTCATTATTTTCTTTATAATACCACTTTTGATTTAAAACCTTTAAATTTTTCAATTATTTAAATTTTTTATTTAAAATAATAATTATTAAGACATTTCTCATTGGTTCAGAATCAGATTGCGCGCTTACAGCGCGCAATTTAAATTTCTAGTAAATATAATATAAAATAAAAATTCTAAACTTAAAAGAAAATTAACATTTCTTGTTTAAAAAATACTTGACATTTTTTTCTGAATAATAACTCTAAAATCAGCAGATTAAGTTTTTAATTATCGATATCACAATTTTTTCTAATAACAAATGTCTTGAGGCAAATTTTTTCAATATATCAAAGAAAAAAAACAATGTCGAAGATTGCTATTATGTCAGTATTTGCATTTCAATGAACCATTTTTCACGAACAGAAGGAGAAAAAAAATGGAAAAACACATAACATTGAAGATCATTGTTCGACACGATAATATTTGTCACCGAAAATAAAAAAAATTAGAGAAGAAATAGAGAGCCAGAGTGGGGGCTGATTGAGAGGGTGAGCTTCAGGGTTTCATTCTAACGGAAACAATAGAAGTGAAAATTCATCAGGTTCTTTTTTATTTTTCGCCTTAATCTCAATGCGTATTTATATATATGGTGGCATTATTATTGTTATTTTTATTTTTATTTATACTTCAGTACTGGCGTAAATAATTTCTGGTCTATGGTCTAAGGACAGAGCAATAAAAGGGACTGATTGAGATGGAATCCGCGAATAAAATAGTTGTAAATAAGAAATAAAACTTGGGAAAAAGTAAGTGGTCTTGTCAGAGGAAACTAAAATATAATACTGAAGTAACAAAGCAAAAGTGGGTTTTTATAGAGGCGTAAAAACTTGCTGATTTCTATCTATAGGTTGTGGTAAAATAGACTTATGGGAAAAGAGCTTTTTTGCGGTTGAAATTATTATTGAGGTTATACTTAAAACATAAAATTTATTTTTTTTTTTAATTAAAGAAATCCATCAGTAA